CACACCTTTTTTTCAAATGTTTAGATACTTCGACCACATGATAATTGCCGCCATGACGGATTACTAGGATCAACAAATGGCATGACCTACACTATAATCCACCCTGTCAGAACATGTGGCCTCATGTGACCTGCCTGGCAGTATGTGCTGCAGCAGGGTGTGTCCCCCTCACTCGGGTGGCATGACCCTAGATGACAGGGCACCCAGCTGGATAACAGGCTGACCATTGGCAGGCTCCAGGTACCTCAGCAAGAGGCAACCGACTCTCAACCACGCCACATCAAACGTATAAGCAAAAAAAAAAAAAAAGCAGACAAAACAAAAGCCAGACAAAATGAAAACAAAGACCACTGTTGCACTTCCTCTGACACATCAGTGCCAACCTTTTGTTGAAAACAGTGACACCTGAGGAACATCAGTGTGCTCTCACTTGGCAGCTGAATCTGTCAAATTTAGGAGATTAAGAATGGGCACCGCCAGAAGGTGAGGCACCACGTGGCAATTGTGGTTTCACAATAGAAGACATAGCACTCGTGTCTGCAAGCTCCCTGGTATCCCTGCAGGGAGAAACAGTCTCCTAAGACAGGCATGTTTTCATGACACTGGATGCCTGGCTCACAGCAGACTTCATCTTCTTTACAGGACTCTGCATAACTTTAAATGCCAAGAGAGAAAGAGTGAAGTTCATAGACAGTAAGACAGTATTTGATATGGGTGAAACACTTGGCTTTTAGAAATCTGGCACATCATGTTGAAAGGATGAGTTACACACTGCAAAGAACTCCATCGAGGACAACAACAACAACAACGCTGAACCAGCACATAGTAAACCCATCTATAACAAAAGATGGCCTCATTTCCCCAAACGATAAGGAACAAGCCCAGCGCAGTACAGAGATGTTATAGGGCTGCTCTCTTCTTTCCCCTCAAATCACAAAGGTTTTGAGATATCAGCCTAGAAACACTTAGCTAAAGGACAGTTGTCTGAAACAGGTCAGTCAAAAGTCTACACACAAGCTCCTACACACACGCATAAACACCAAGGACAAATAAATACATGGATACACACAGACAAAGCAGCAGAGAAGCCTTATTAGATGGGGTTAATGGGTCCTGAGCCTTTTAACAGCATGCTACAGTCACGCACAATACTGGCTGGATAACGGGGGAGATAGCTAGAGGGGTTAGCAGGCTCTTGAACCCTGTTGGTATCGACTGCAGTGAGAAGTCCCAACATCTAAGTCTGAGCTCTGACAGTGCACTGTCTGACCACCTCCGTCCAACAGGCATCTCTAATTAAAGCATGTGCTGCATACCCTGCATGCACAAAGTTGATGATACAGTTGTCATTTTTAAACTAAATACCCTTTGTCGTGAATAGCAAATGTACCTAAGTTCATCTCTGCACCCATGGGTGTGTTTGCATTAGAAGGATGTACTGTATGGACAACTACATGCTTGCAAGACAACCCCCCTATAAAAACCTGGTATGTAGACCGTTAATTCCTGCTGTCGTTTAAAGACTGTGATGACCCGTGCAGAGCAGCTAAAATTAGTAGTTTCATAACTAAAATCTTATCCTGCTTTCATTTTAACTGTCAAAGGTATCACTTAGTTTTAATCTCATCCACAGATCATTCAAACTATGGCACTCCCAGTAGGTTCTGTAATTTTCCTTCTCTGACATGAACCTTGTGGTAAGAATGACAGGCATTAAAATAACAAATTAAATAGGTAATCTTATTCCTGCTGTTCTTGGATGATTCTGTGTAGCTTATTTAGAGGCACCAGTGATCATTTCAGTTGTGTTTCTTAACAAGCTGAAAACTCCTGTAGGTTGAAATGCTGCATTTTCCAGACAGTAGATGAGCCTGTAGGGACAGGTTCACACTGCACATATATTCTGATTTCTAAACCGGGAGTTTTCAACTCAAGGAACTTTAGATGATTCCTGCTAGAGCCTTGAACAGGCAAAAAATAATTATTTTATACTTAAAAGAGGTGTCTAAAACAAGCATACTACTATTAAGAGCTAAGTAAGACTAAATACATATTGTTTTAATATTTAATGCATGCTCAACTGGCTTGGTTGACACTCTGCTTTATTTAATTTATGTGATGTCCAAAACACACTATCAACTATCTGTGCCTTGAGTCTAAAATTTGCAAACAGATTATCTTTTTTTTTTTTTTTACAAGTAAAGCCTTTCAAAACACCTGCTCCTGCACTTAACAGGTTTTTCAAAAAGTTTTAATAGGGCCCTTATACCTTTTAGGTTTTTAAGGTTTGTACCTGTTGTGGCAAGGATTTCAAAAAGTTGAAGTTTATCACTGAATTCTTAAAACGTATCAATCATTAAGGAACAGAAGAACAAGCAGGAGACTAGCAGATTCTTCAAAGGGGGAGAAAGTTTTAGACCTGATAACACAAGAGAAGGGGTTGTAATGCATGATAGAAGTAGTAAATTTAATATTTGTTTTGGTTAAATCCAATATTTGAGCTCATTTTAGATCTACAGTTGCAGGAAAAAGTATGTGAACCCTTTGGAATTTCTTAGTTTTCTGATTAAATTGGTCATAAAATGTGTTCTGATCTTCATCTAAGTCTCAACAACAGACAAACACAGTCTGCTTAAACTAATACCACACAAACAATTATATGTTTTCATGTTTTTGTTGAACACAACATGCAAACAGTCACAGTGCAGGGTGGAAAAAGTATGTGAACCCTTTGATTTAATAACTGGTTGACCCTCCTTTGGCAGCAATAACCTGAACCAAACGTTTCCTGTAGTTGCAGATCAGACCTGCACAACGGTCAGGAGGAATTTTGGACCATTCCTCTTTACAAAACTTTTTCAGTTCAGCAATATTCTTGGGATGTCTGGTGTGAATCGCTCTCTTAAGGTCATTCCACAGCATCTCTATAGGGGTTGAGGTCAGGACTCTGACTGGGCCACTCCAGAAGGCGCATTTTCTTCTGTTGAAGCCATTCTGTTGTTTATTTACTTTTGTGCTTTGGGTCATTGTCCTGTTGCATCACCCATCTTCTGTTGAGCTTCAGTTGGTGGACAGATGGCCTTAAGTTTTCCTGCAAAATGTCTTGATAAACTTGGGAATTCATTTTTCCGACGATGATAGCAATCTGTCCAGGCCCTGATGCAGCAAAGCAGCCCCAAACCACGATGCCCCCTCCACCATACATCACAGTTGGGATGAGGTTTTGATGTTGGTGTGCTGTGCCTTTTTTTCTCCACACATAGTGTTGTGTGTTCCTTCCAAAGAACTCACCTTTGGTTTCATCCGTCCACAGGATGTTTTGCCAGTAGTGCTGTGGAACATCCAGGTCCTCTTCTGCAAACATCAAGTGTGCAGCAATGTTTTTCTTGGACAGCAGTGGCTTTCCCCGTGGTGTCCTCCCATGAACTCCATTCTTGTTTAGTGTTTTACGTATCGTAGATTCGTCAACAGAGATGTTAGCATGTGCCAGAGATTTGTGTAAGTCTTTAGCTGACACTCTAGAAATCTTCTTCACCTCATTGAGCATTCTGCGCTGTGCTCTTGCAGTCATCTTTACAGGACGGCCACTTCTAGGGAGAGTAGCAACAGTGCTGAACTTTCTCCATTTATAGACAATTTGTCTTACCGTGGACTGATGAACATCAAGGCTTTTAGAGAGTCTTTTATAACCCTTTCCAGCTTAATGCAAGTCAACAATTTGTTAGGTCTTAATCGTAGGTCTTCTGAGAGCTCTTTTGTGCAAGACATGGTTCACATCAGTCAATGCTTCTTGAGAGTAGCAAACTCAAAACTGGAGTGTGTTCTTTATAGGGCAGGGCAGCTTTAACCAACACCTCCAATCTTGTCTCATTGATTGGACTGCAGGTTGGCTGACTCCTGACTCCAATTAGCTCTGTGAGAAGTCATTAGCCTAGGGGTTCACATACTTTTTCTACCTTGCACTGTGAATGTTTACATGTTGTGTTCAACAAAAACATGAAAACATATAATTGTTTGTGTGGTATTAGTTTAAGCAGACTGTGTTTGTCTATTGTTGAGACTTAGATGAAGATCAGAACACATTTTATGACCAATTTAATCAGAAAACTAAGAAATTCCAAAGGGTTCACATACTTTTTCCTGCAACTGTATTCCTGCAGTCTCCTTATCTTTCACATTTTGTTCAATCACCAGATTTCATGTAAAGGTGCATTAGCAATTCAGACTTTGCCTTCAAAAATGAACACCTGCCGGAAACTGTTTAAATGAGTAATAAGTATAAATCATAAGCATATAAGACAGTTACTTAAAACAACCTGCCCTCAGTGAATTGCTGTGAACCTCCTCTGCAAGAATTCTGATCTCTGGCATTAAAAACAGTGCAGGCTGATCCACCCGAGTCACTTTTCAACAGCAGCGATTAAAAAGGTGGAGAGAATGAAAGTAATGGGATTAAAGACAGGCATCTCTTTGTAAATGTGTGCCAAAGCAGTGGAGAAGACACACAGAAGCACAGCATCTCCCAACATAAACAACCTATCACACACACTGACACAAGAATGACTGGACAAGGACACTCACACAACCCATGAGGGAGCAAAACATACAAAAACATCCACAAACAGGTAGATGCAAAAAAATCACTCACATTAAAGAAAAAAAAAAACATGTCAAAACAAGCTACAAAGCCAAAGGGGAAACTTATGAACTCAAAAACAGAAACGCACACACCATACACACTCAGGCAATGATTGACAGCACACATTAGAGAAGGGGCAGGCCCGGGCATGGCAGGAGGAGGAGTGACGGGAGGCAATTAGAGCATATTTTAGATGATAATAGCTGTTTACGAGCCATACATTCTATAAAAGCTATTCATAGCAGGCGAGCAGATGAGCGGAGCTCTGAAAATGGCTTGTCCGTGTGCCCATGATATGCCCCCAAGGGCATGGAGGGGCAGAGCAGAGAGAGAGGCAGATAGAGTGGCAGTGATTTCTTACTCTGGCATGTAGGGATATCGCAGTATCTCCAGTAAATCCCATCTTCATGATCAGCAATGTAGCACCACGGCTGAACGTCTCCGTCAGGATTCCTGCAGACACAGAGGAATCACATTTAGAGCATGCACATACTACAAAGGTTCAGTCTGGTAGTGTGTGTTTGTCTCTATATTGGCACACAAGTTCCTTTTTGACTTAAAGTTGAAGAGGATTTTAGTGCAAAAGGAAAAGTCAGAGCTTTAGCTAAAGTGGCTCCTCCACCGCCCTTTTTTCCCTTTTCCCTTTTTCCTCTCTCATACACTTTGCAATTACTGTGTGTGTGTGTGTGTGTGTGTGTGTGTGTGTGTGCGTGTGTGTGTGTGTGTGTGTGTGTGTGTGTGTGTGTGTGTGTGTGTAAAAGGAGCAAGAGGTAGAGTTAGAGGGTCCCTAACCCATATTAGAGGTATGAGGGCAAAACAACTCAATGACAGACTAAACTAAAAACCCTGCTGCAGAGGGCTGAATGCTCAATGATGTTTCAGTGGGAGATTATCTACGCTGTGTCAATCATCCCAGCAGCTCTCTTTAGTACTCAGTACGTCCTCCTCTGTCTTCTGGAGGCTTGACCGTGCATGTCAGTCAAGGGCCAGACCAATGGCTCTCTGAAGGCTGGAGGTCAGGGTCAGGGGAGGAGGGCTCTTTGTTCGGGGCCAGGCACAACCTTAAAAAAATGGATGGGAGGATGGGGCAAAGCTTTTGTCTGAGCCTGTGGCTTTTTTTTAACCTCATCGAGGCACTTTGAACCCATCACACTTTGACTGGCAGATGCTTAGGCTTTTCAGCTTCACTTACAAAAGTGATGAGAGGTGGGAGTGAAGATGGCTTTGAGCCGGCTCCTTATCTCCAGGGTGTTCATGTGAATAATGACTCTACTTTTAACTACAGCTAAATGAAATCTAAGCAGCAAGTATGCGGTTGGAGCTCACATTGGTGTCATTTTCAGATCTTTAAGCTCTATTGCAGGAAAAGAAAAAACTGTAAATGAGAAAAAACGGCCTTCTAAGGTGACATTGCTATTTCTCTTTAGTACTGACTGTAATTGCCAGAGACCTTTTTTTGTTATTTGACACACCTTTTTGTAGCATCTTGACAAAGCCTCGGGGCGCTGCACTATCCCGTTTCGCCTTTTGTGAGCAAAGTTGTGAAGGGCGTTTCCATTTCTTTTCTTTTCCTATCAAAAACACTTTCCAGAGTTTCCTCCTCTCTTTTCACACTCAAAATGGGGTATTGACAAATATGTCGCTGTAAAGACTTTTAGGGTTGAACTCAAGTTTAACTGCCTCAAAGCTTTTCACTCTCAATATTTGGCAAACTGTTATCACCGTAAAGTAAAGTTTGTAGAAAGGGTTAATCTATTCACTTTTTCTTTTCTTCTAATCTAAAAGAGAAACAACACAGCGCTTAACCTCAACCTGAAATTTTCCCATGTCAAAAAGAACCCAGCCTTGTTTTCCAGTAAATTTGAATACCATATCATGATCCCAGATCTATTTATTGCTCCACCCAGATTGGCAGCAAACACCTGTTTATTTAGCCTGAAGCTACGGCTGGAAAAAGAACAGCATAAACACAAGTCCAAAGTCCAACCATCAAAATATTGTATTATGTACCTTTTCTCTACGTCTCTCTCCCCTTCTCCGTTTCATGCTTGTCAAAGCCTAATAGACCCTATTTGAAATAAGACTCCCAAGAAGCCATCTATAGCCACTTATATAATTTACTGCTCTTTTAATCACCCCCTAAGGAGGCAGACATGAATTACAACCATCATCATTAACTAAATATCCTCAGAGGAACACCCATACCAAGTCCGACCCACCGGCAGCTTTGATCAGTAAATTATGTGGTGTCCCTAACCTCTATCCAAAAAAACCCTTGTCCCCCTACAGACACATACGCACACACATACTCACACACACGTACACACACACACACACAAACAGAAACACACAGGAACACCTGCACGCACCCTTTTTGCAGTAGCATGGGAACATCATCTACAGCACTGAGGTGAACAGGCTAGCCCACATGACAGAGAAACATAATCCTGCCCTGAGTACCAGTGTGTGCGGGTTCGGCGAGTGTGTGTGTGTGTGTGTGTGTGTGTGTGTGTGTGTGTGTGTGTGTGTGTGTGTGTGTGTGTGTGTGTGAGTGTGTGTGTGTGAGTGTGTGTGTGTTTGAGGGGAGAGAGCAAAGGCAAAGACAAAGAAGTTGGAAAGCAGACAGTGTCAGATTAGCTCAGGTGCCGCTGTGCAGATAAGAGCAGACTCCGATAGATGGAAATCCATTTGTTTAACCCCGCAGCACAGAGAAAAACTTCAGTCCTCGTATAGAAAAAAGTTTTTTGCTGGAGTGTGTATATGTGCGCATGTGTTTAGGGTTGTTTTGTCGTAGGGGCTACATTCACATCCATGTGCGTCAGAGATGGCTCTAAGTAGAAGAGCTTGTTGAAACACTCCCATACCCAGAGGTAGATCACAGAAGATGTTTGGACACTTAATTGGCACAATTACGCTGATTGACTCATTTCGCTCCGAGTGAGCCACACACTTGGGTACAGAGCCAATTATAGCCACATTGGGTTTTTCCTCCCAGGTTCTCCAGTCCTGCCGTTAAAGCCAGGAGCAGCTTACTTCTGAACACAGAGAAAAAGCAGCTGCTCAGGGTTGGCTGCTGTTCAAAAGGTTTCCCGTAATAACCATTTTTCCCCATACCTTAACTGGAAAATTTAAGGGCATTTTTAAACTGCCTGGCACTGTCAAACTACATATACAAATTTTAAAATAATCACATCAAAGAATGTGTGCTAATGTTGCAAATAACACGCTTCTAGGGGTATTTCACGAGTTCAGTCAGATTCTGGAGGAACATTAGTTTAATTTATGAATACAAATAAGATGAGAGCTACACTTCATTTCGCTGAATTCAGAAGAGTAGAAATGCCTACTAAGAAGTGGTGCTGAGAGGCTGTCTGGAGTGGGATTTGAGGTCAACAGCAGATCAGAGACTGGCTATTTACTGCCTGGGAGAAGACTCTTTAATTGACTTGGATGATTTAGCATGCAAACTGCTGCTTGCTGCTGTGCTGCATGAATGCATGTATTGAAAGTGAGTGGCTTGTTGGTTGTTGGATGATATGTATAGTCTACTGTCTATTGTTGTTCTCTCACAGTCCACTAAACACGAGGTTGTGTTATTACTATGTCATGCTAGCTTGTAAGCACATCACTATGTTCCTTGACTACAATTTCAAGGTTCACTTCAGCAGGAAATGTGTCATTTAGCTTATAATACTGTTATATGCACTCCTTACTATGGATAAAACTTAAACTTTAATCTGTAGCAAAAAGTAAAAAACTGTTCTTAAATAAATAAATTAACTGGAATGCATGTGAATCAATTTTTAAGTAATTTGGCAACAACTGTGCTTTATTTAGCTTTTAACACATTTCTTTGAATTTGCTGCTCCTCTGACTGGTTGATTGTTTAAGGCAACAATGGCTGAAGTTCCTGGTTTTTGTAGTGTTTAAGCCTTGCCCATTATAAACTGACAGTAACAACATGATTTCTTAACATCAAAGGTAAAAGTTTAAATAAGTGGTCAAACTCAATTCACTAAAATGGTTTCAATTATACCTGAGGTTTGGTTTTAACTGACCACAAAATGTAAATGAATATTTGTAAAAAAAGAACAGAGAACCGTAAAGAAACCCTTCTCTACCTGTTGGGAGCAGAAATCTCAGAACATTAGAGCTAAAACAAAAGATGGCTACATGGTAAAAAAAAAAGAAAATGTTTGACCGTTTCAGGACGAATGCACAAACATTTATCAATCCTGAGATTACTATAATGTTGATGGCCAATGCTTCTTCTTGTGGGACACTTCCATTAACTTCATCTTTATATGAGGCAGCACACCGGGGTTGTAATTTAGACGTTCAAACAACTGACAACTTGTCTGCACTTTGCCTGATTCCAGATTTGCACCCACCATCATGAAGATCCAATTGCAATCAACTTGGGGAACACTATTCACTCTGGCATTTCCATTATCTCATCTATGCAAGAGGAAAGCATAAGAAGCCATAGTGGACTCTCATAAATTGTACACTACACATACACACCTGCATATAAATAGCAAGGAAATGGCTCACAAAGCTATTGAACCACCCACTGAACCGTCATGCACTTCACACCCTCATTCTAATGCACCGGGGGGGGGGGTCCCAATATGAGGCTGTAGGAACAGTCGATTGAAAAGGAACTATAAATGAAACATAAATCAGGACATTGATTTGATGTTATTCTTATATAAGTCAATAAGTATAGAAAATGTTCAAGTATTTAAGAAGTAAAAAGTCTCTTATTATTGTGTAGAATAGCCAAAAAAAACACAGACATAAGAGAAGCTGATGTACTTATTTTTATTAGATTAAATTGATTCTGTAATGTGATATTCATTGTTAAAGTAAGTCTCTCTAAGTCTCAGCTAAGACACGAGAGCTGTTGTCCTTTTCCTGAAGCTTTGTGCTTTTTCTTTTTTCTGCGGGCGAACAATGTGACATTTCCCCTCTGCCCAGTTTTCCCCCTGTTTTCCCTGGAGTATTTTATAGCAGGCTATAAAGATGAAATGTGGGGGCTGTTAGGGCTCTTTCTGCAGCACTACTATGGTGCCCTCTCAGCTAAATCACCACCGGGAAAACTCCAGCAAGGGGACAAGAAGTGAGTGTGTAATCCTCTACTTCTAGGCTTCTCAACATCTGATACGTGCTCAGAGCCATGTGCTAAAGTTAAGACATGTAGTGATTCCAAGCTTTGCATTATCCACCTGTGTCCTGGCCTAAGCTCTAATCTCATAAAACCACAATTTGCCTCGGGGTCTGACATGCCAAAAGTGCCCTGGCTCTCCTCTTTAACCCCTCCCTCTTGTGTTCACCTCCCCCTCTTGTCTAAGAATTACCCCCTAATGTGAAGTTATGGCCTGAAACATACTAACAAATGTAAGCCTCAGATGACAGACGCACAAGCGAGAGAGATGAGAGAACGCATTAAGGGTAGAGGCAATGGGAAGTGGGAAAACGGAATTTGAATTGCAAGTTGCACATCATGTAAATAAAGAGATCTGCAATCCAAATCGAGCAACACAACAAGCCAACTTTCTGTGATCAAACAAATCAAATGCGACACATCTTTCTTTGCAGCGGGGTAACCCTTTTCTCTGCAGGCACGTACATGTTCACCAAATGTGCAGACAACACACATACACATATTAAAAATACATGGGTGGACACATGATTCAATACTTGACCCTGTGCAGACATGCCAAAAATACCATCCCTCATCTTTTCACAATGAAGTGGCCACCTCTGTCCCCAGAGCGCTGCTGAGGTGTGACTCTGTACATGCAGGGTCGTCGAACAGAGAGACTGAGAGAAGTCGTAGCTGCAGCCCTAAGCGACAGAAATCCCTCTGTCAGGAAGAAACAAAGCCACGAGCTGTCAGTGAGTTGGAAAAGCTGCTGACTGCATCTGCTGCCAAAAAAACAGCCAAATCCAAACATTGGATATGTCCATTTTGAACCGCTTGTTGAACATAATGCATTCCTAATGTCCCGGGAAAGCCCTCCACGATCATCTGCCTGTATCCTCCTCATAAATCTTCCAAATTCCCATCCAGTTCAAGTAAAAACAAATCTGTCCAGTGCCACTTCAAAGCATTGCTGTGTTATGAGTTTACAACCATGAGTTAGAGAAATGTTTCAGAGGCTTTGGGATGAGGAGGAGGAGTAGGGGAGGGGGGGGGCTTTCTGTTTCTTATGGATTGGCTAAATGTCCCAAGCCACTGTTCTGGACGTCTCTGTGGATTTGAACTGCAAGTGCATCAACCAGCAAAAATATAAGTTTGACAATCGTTCAGGCAAAACTGAGATTCGTGCTTGGAGTGTGCCTGATGGATACAAAAGGGATTTTCAGACACGCAAAGCCGCCATGTCCCCTCACATTACACGGATGAGGGACGGAGATTTGCTTATACAAACTCTTCAAGCGCTTTTGCATCCTTGCGATGACGGGGCTAAACGTTCAGTTTGGGTGCCGGTTAAAAATTCAGGTGAGTGACTGAGCATTTCCCCTGAGCTCAAACCCTCTGCAAAACACCAACGGCCTGATTTTAAATTATTAATCAAGTCAAATGCTTTGTCTATGAAGTTTAAATCTCCGTCAAACATCAGTCTGTCTCATAAAGATGAGTTTCAAAGATGCCACTCAAAGCACTTTTACATCAATGGTGTTAACTTTACATGCCATAAACATAAAAGATAACTGCTAAAGATTTTGGCAGCAGTAACTGTTAGCCACTGTTTAAGACTCTGTGGGGAATTCGCTTTATTTCCAGGCCAAAAGCAGATTGCTTTACGATAAAACAAAAAGACAGAACTGTTTTTGCTTTTAGTGCAGACAGAGTTAGAGCATCTTGGCGGCTGTGGTTTAGTGTAGAGCCGGTCGCTTCTCAACCGGAAGGTCGGGGTTCAAGCCCGAGCTCCTGCAGCCACATGTCCTTGGGCAAGACACTTAACCCCAAGTTGCTCCCACTGTGTCATCTGCAGCTTGTGAATATGTGTGACTGGGATTAGTAAATACTTATGGACACTTTAAAAAAAAAAAAAAAGTAGGTGTGACCTCGGGCGTAAAAATCATAAGACAACTGAAGCGTTATACAAGCTTAAGTAATTAAGGTGTCATGAAAAGGATTAGTGGAATATAGAAAAAAAACATATTTTAGCCTCATTAAAACTTTGATTCTCATCAACTTTTCCGACTTTCTTCAAATGTGAGTAAGGAAACACTGGATGGTATAAACCAGGTCGTCCTTTAATCGAAAGAGTGAATGTCAAAATGTCAGAAGGAAAGGTGCTGAACCAGATTGCTTAAGAATGTCTGTGTGAACGGGGTAAGTACCTGTAGAGCTCTTTAACAGCTTTGAGGACTAGAAAGATGTTAGGTTACGTAAAAGCAGTTATTTAACTTTTCCCACCTGCTTTGCATTAAGGGGTTTGAAGTCAAAAAGATTAGGAACATCTGTTTCAGAGATTAATTAGCGCATCATACTTCAATAAGTGCTGATGTGAACATTTTTAGTCGATTTAATATGGCCACAAACTCTGCCTGTCAATCTGCCTTCAACCTTTCAGCCTCAGACTATGTTTTCATCTCGTTCCTCAACCCTGCTATCCTGTAAACTGCAAGCTGTAAACTTCAGTTTCAACTATGTTTTATTAACATTACATTTCACTAAGTAGCTGATGCTTTTTTAAATCACAAGTTTCAAGAAGTAAACCCACTGCATGTGATTTAATATTAGTGAACTTACAGATAAAGAAAAGAAACTCACCTGCAGTAGTTGTGTCTGCCCAAACCCCCTTCTCCATTGGGGTACTTGAGGGTGTTGTAAGGGTGCTGGAAGGTCTCATTCCAGAAGAGGCAGGGTTTACCACCATGCAGGCTGGTTTGGTTCTGAAAGCCCCTGTAGTCCTCTCCGTTTGCAGTGTAGCACTCTGGAAGAGGGAAATAAGACAGAGAAGGTCAGAGAATTTACTTGTGTCTGAAATAATGGATACAACATCTAATAAGGTGTAAATCGTAAGCTTGGCGAGCGCTTAAAATAAGGCATGTGAAAAGCAGCTACACATGAGACCTGCTTTATGGTGAGTCTGGATTCAGTGAAACACTCACATGCTATTAAAATGTTGTAATGTGTTTGGAATGGCCGTAGAAGTTTGGAATAATTACTTTTCTTGCTGAGGCTCTATCCATTTCAGCTCTGGCCAAGCATGTTAAAGCAAGATCAATCACAGTATTGTTTCAATTAATGTCAACGCAGGAGCGTACCGAAAAACCTGCCCCACAGATATACAACAAAAGCAAACATGGCTTGAATTTCCAGGAAGTGTATGACAACCATATGGCATAGTCAAAGAGGGGGAGTGAGAAAAAAAAAAGAGACAGTTTCCCAAGGCAAAACAATGGCGGGGGGAAGGCTTTTCTTCCCGTAGAGAGGGAATTCAAATAAACAATGGCTGATGGGAGCGTGATGAGCCCTCACCGCTCATCATTTTGAGCCTCGGGGGCTCCTGTCAAGGGAGTTCTAACAGCCAAGACCGAAAACTTCATATGATTGCATTAGTATGGAATATTTCAATTTATTATGTGACTGTTATGATTACTCATACTGCAGGTGCTCATAATTCCTACGACTGTTGACAGAGCAGGATACTCCTATAGTGTAAGAAGACAAAAACAGGATCTTCAACACAGTACATGAGAATCCCAGTCTACAGTGTTTTTTGTGTGTGGCATTTGTATGTTATTTTATTGTTTTGTTATTCCCTCACAAAGCTGATATGCCACAGTTTGTCAAACATTCTTTGACAAAAAAAAAACATATTTTTGAGGACAACATTTTAAAAAAAAAAAAAAAAATGCTGCAAGTCATACATCATCCTCAAATCTTGCAAAGGCACATGGTCAAGACCTGACATCACTGTTGGGTCTAGTTCAAAGTTCATGAACATCATCAAAATGTGTTTCTGCAAGTGTGGCCTCAATGATTATTGTACAAAAACACAACTTTAGAGATGCTGGTTTGGCTCAGTAGTTAAGAACGTCTGCAAATATATGCAGAGGCTCAATCCTCAACACAGCGACCATTGGCTCAACTCTGAACCTCTTCCCTTAGGGGTATTCTTTAAATCTTTTTTTTCGGGTTAATATATATGTATGGGAGAGGGGCGTCGGTTTTGTGGTTTCATTTGTAACAAATGTTTCATGTCATGTACGTCTTTGTAACCTGCTACTGGATGCTTTGAATTTCCCTGGGGATCAATAAAGTATCTATCTATCTATCTATCTATCTATCTATCTATCTATCTATCTATCTATCTATCTATCTTTGCTTCATATCAACCAAACTCTCATCACAAATTTCTGAGTCTATCCTATTTCCTATCTAATGCGCCAGAAATCCACACAAAATGAAAACTTTATTCACTGACTAGGGTGATACTAGATCTAATTGTATACATTAAAAATGTAAGGGTTTTCCCTCCGATGTCCTTTTGCTTGCTCTGCCTGAAATCTCATTAAGAGTCTCCTGGTGGATAGGTTGTTTGTTTTTGTTACTGTAAGCTGGTTTGACGTGCCAGGCCTCGAAGATTGAAGCACCAAAAGGAGTGTAGCACAGGACCTTTAGACTGTCATGAGGAGGAGTTTCCACTTAGGGGACAAAGTAAGGAATTGTGGCTGGTAACAGCAGATGATTAAGAATCAGAGATGGGTGATTTGAAAACCAAACCACATCCTCATTCTTTAAAAAGCACATAGGCCTACTCTGACAAACTTTCAGTATTTAAAACTTACAAGTAATACTGTCAAGTAGCCTATGAACCACTATTGAAATTGTAGACCCCGGAGCACGTACTGTACAACATGCTTGTCAATCAAATTTGATTAAAAAAAAAAATCACATACTCGCTTGTTTAATGCGTCTCTATGGGATATTGTTGCTATGTACGTGGTAAGCCAATGACCGGCTTCTTTCAGCAAGTCAAGCTGTCTGGGCTGAGTATGAGCTAATGCCTTGCGATATGACAGTCATTATACCCCTAAGTGAGCCAGCTGTGCTCCTCGCCTCTCAGTCATTCTCTTTTGGGTCTGGCGTTTTCAAACTTTTTTACTTCTCTTCTCTTCTCTTGTACTCTTTCTTCATCTACTGCCTCTGCCTAGCCTCAAACACTTTAAATACGACCTTTGTTGATTGTTGCCAAGTCCATCTTTTGATGGCAACGTTTAGATGCCATTTTTCAGGTTTAGAGGATCCACATGGCATTAATGAGAGTAAAAATAAGAGTTTAGGAATGAAGACTTGTGAGGACTGAAAACTAGATACAAATGTTGTGAAAGTTGAATATGTTTAGTAATTAGCTTTTCATACTCTGTACCATGCTTCGTGATATTTACAGCCTGAGCTTGCACGCAAACAAGCACTCCAGGCCTATTGCAGTCACCACAAAAGTACAGCTAGCACTTAATTTTAGAGCAAATCAAAAGGCCCTGGCTGTTCTCAGTGTCTCAGCCAAGTTGCTTTTAATTAAAGTTGTTTCGACTGTGTTGTGCAGTCAAGCTTATCAGCCATTCATCGTCAGGCTGACAGGAGTTCAACAGCGAGTTCCTGTTATTATGATGCCACTCTATTGTCTGTAAAAATGGCTTCCCTCTCTCTTAGCAAATTAATACCGCCTCAGTACCCCGGGATCCCAACCACTGGATTTTAAATGTAATCAAGAAAGACAGAGAGACAGAGGCTGAGGCAGAACACAACTCTACACAATTAAAGAAAACAGTTTAATGGTGTTACAACAGGGGTCATGCTCTCCCTACCCTTACAGGAGAAAGTGATGAGAGGGGCAGGGTAAAAAAGTTATTGTCAGGCAGACAGAGGACAGACATGGCATGACAAATAACACACATTAACAAGGTCTCAATTGATGCATGTGCAGTTGATCACTGAGGTCCAGATCTTCAGAGTGAAACACTAGGAAAATCAATTGGTTTACTGATAACAGCTTTAGACAAAGACAATTATGTCATTGGAATCAGACTTTGTGTTCATGACAAAGCTTGGACCATTTGTTCCTTGTTGTTTAATCAAAACACTACACTCCCATATCAGACTACATGGATCTCAGAATATCTAGAAGATAGACGTTTGAAAGCATTTTCTGTTAAAGAATTCACACAGTTGCAGCAGACAAATTTCAAGTCACATCCCTGTCATTTTAAACAATCACCAGTGATCAAAGGAATCAGAGAAAGAGCTGGGGTAAACTCAGTGATAGCTTAGTTTTAACGTGAAAATTATTTGATCAGTCCTTTGACTCATTTGCATACCTTGTGAGTGGGTGTTAACCCTTCAATTTGGTTCCTGTTACAATGAATGTACATTATGAGGAATCCTAGGAATCCTCTGGGCCAGCCCTGGGTTTTCCCGACTGATGATTTGAGTTGTCCAATTAAACTGGGGAGCCCTATGTTTCCGATACCAACATTTGTGTTAGCTGCTCTGGTATAGTTCAGGAAATGTGATGGTATTTGCATCTGTCACATACATTATCATATTTGGAAGGCAGAGTTCAGATGATAAGATTTAATTTAAATAGATGCCAGCAGAGACTTTGACAGAACAACAGAGGAAGGAAAACACTACTATTGAGAGTTTGGCAGCAGCAGACGAACAATCATGAGTCACTGCTCCCCAGAAGCAATCAGGATTGTTACTGCTCCAGTCAGAGACGATACCATCAGGCAGGGACAGGGCAGCCTACTGCATCCCCAATGAGCTCACGTCCTTCAAATATCTTCTCACTCTCAAAAAAACGGGTATTGAAATGACTGAACTTGGCTGCATGCAGCACTTCTCAACACACTGTATCAAAAAGAAAGAGCCAAATGACTTTGTAAATGTATTCTCTTCTCCTTCAGAAAACTTTACTGGGGTTTCAGGATGGAGAGTTTGTATGCACATGGTCTGCTTGGAACAAGCTGCTGCTGGCAATCAGTCTGCCCTGCTGCAGCCAAGTTAGCTTTCCAGGACGCGATGGTAAATATGGCAGCATAATACCAGCAGGAGGAAGACAGCGGGGTGCTCCATGTGGTTCCAAGCCACCATTTGCTTGTGGTGAGTATGGGAAGTAGCAGATCTGTAAAGGACTCCGAGATAAGTGAGGCCATCGTAAAGATGAATGGTCCATTTAAAAGCCCTGTGGATGACCACATATCTATCAAGCTTAAGAGAAAAGGCCAATTTTAAATTGAAGCGGTGCCGATATGAGCATTTTATCCCTGTCCTGTAGAAAATGAAGAGCTTTCCTACTGATTGTATAGTCACCACATCCACTCCCTTAGAAAACACACCCAGCCCCCCCATCACATCCCTTTCCTTGTCACCAAGCAACAGTTGCGCTCTCGTCACACGGGTCTGCACTTTCTTGTGGTTTCATCATGGGCCGTGATGGGAAACAGAACCACCACCGCATGAAAGACGGAGAGAAGGGGGAAAAAAACCTCCAATAAAATGTATGCAGATCTACAAATAGAAAAAGTCCGGGAAAGAGTAGAAGACTGAGACTCGCCCTCCACCAAGCTCACAGAATGCTGCACCACCCCAGCTAAACAGATGAGAGAAGTGAAAAAAGGAAAAACAGCAGAGAATTGCTGAGAGAGCTAATCGCCCTGTTATTATATTTGTCGGGTTTTGTGGCTAATGACTTCCACATTGCAACTTCAAATGCACTTGATGCACCAAGAAAGCAAACAGGAGGGGGTAAAGAGAGAAAGCAAAGAGTGAGGGGTTTTAGTCACGTGATCTCAGGAACACAAACAAACCAGGTTACAAACAAACGGTTTCCCTGAAACATGTTGCCAGGTCACACAAAAGCACTTGTTTGTTGTGTTTGCTACAAAGGATAAAAAGCAGCAATAATTACAGACGACTGCTTCC